AACGGCAAACCCGCACGAGAGAGGAATAGAACACGTCAAGTTCCTTCGGTTACCTCGCATAAATCATTGCTCGATTGTTGCAACGAAGAAAAACCGAGGAGAAAACCGAGTTGTTGTAATTTCATCTGGTGAACTCGTGACCCTGTTCGTAAAAATCTACCGGGTTTTGGGCCATTGAAAGGTGCTCGGCGTGGGATTGGACACGAGTCACGAGATTTAGAATTAGATAATTAAATAAGATTATAATTTCATCTAGCTCGATCTTCAAAATGATCTTATTCAATAATTCTCCATCGATCAGAGTTTGAATCATTCAAGGCTTGACTATCGTATACGTAAGATTAAAAGGATGAAGAACTCGTACGAAAGAACGCGAATTTTTTGCAGTTAGGTCACGAAAATTATTCTAAATAATAATTGAAAGAAAGAAAAGAAAATTCAAAGTACACGTGATCCTGTCTACGTATCATGCAACTTGAAGTTCGAGGCTTCAAGAGAGACAAGTCAGGTTAAAAAGGTTAAAATTATGAGGTTAAAAAGAACGATCGACATTGGTGGCGAAATAAAAGACGTGGGTGTGCGAAATAGAATAAAAGATGAACGAGGTGATTTGGAGGCGATCGCCGGCGTCAGGTGTTCCTAGGATATATGTACAATTCTCTGAAGGTTGGGCTGAGTTTTAAAGCAGGGTGGCGGAAGAGGGGGTCTGAGCTAGGTTGCAGCTGCGGCTGCTCCAACCCTCGAGTGGATCAACCGTTCTCCTGGTGTAATAACGAGCAGAGGGAGGAGGAAACCGGGTCACGATGCCCTCAGAAATTAAACGTAACAACTGCTGTAAAGGCGTAAGACGCGAATGATTACACGGTGGGATTAATCCTCGTCGAAGAATTAGACGTGCTCGATAAGAATGTGTCGAGAAAGTTTCCATCAATGGACTTTGCAACGAAATCGCTTTGCATCTTCGATTCATCCCCGATGAAACTTTATAAACTTTCCAAAAAAAAAAAAAAATCGTGATTGTTTCTAATCCGAGTTAAGGATGCTTTCTCTTCTTCTTCGTTTTTTCAAAGAGATCATTACGATTCTTCTTCTTCGACTGTTCGTTACAATTATTGTTGCAAGCGAAGGTTTCGTGTTGGTCGATGTTTGGTTATTCTTGCTTGTTCCTTCGATGGACATTTTGTGCACGAAATTGGTATTGAAGATTGCCTATCGTTTCATAGCCGTAGAGGAGAATAAATAATAGATCAAATCGCTGAAAAACTGGCAAGTAGTTTTTCGATTATATTCAATTTCCAGAGATTTCGCTTACTCTTTTTTTATCCAAACAATCGAACGAGAGAAACTCCTTCGCATTTGCCTCGACAGTATTCGTACACATATTCTGGCACAATAGAAAATATACAATGCAAAATCCATTTCTAGAATTCCGCACCCCAGCACGATCGATAATACGCGACAGAGTCAAAGCCTGAGATCGAACACCACTTACGTATTACAATCGATTCACCAATGATACATGGATTCTTTTACGGTTTTGGATCAGCGTTACACTCTTTTGGCAGCTTGCCCATCTTCATGGCGCTTCCATAAGTCTCCTCGAGAAGCAGGATCTCCTCCTCGATACCACTACTCTTGCAACATTCGGGACATACGACTGTGACGTCGTGATCGTGATAACCAGCGCCGAAATTTTTCAACTCCTGCTGAATTCGAATATAAATCGCCGTCCATTTCCGCTGGTGACGATCACACCAGCTCGATTAACCGTGTCACGCGTGTACTACGAGCTGCGGGAATTGTAAACCGGAGATTATTGCGAATGTTTGAATACAAGAATTTGTTCCTTTTTTTTTTTCTTTTCGATTCAATTGATCGTTGGACGGTTGAGTGGATTCTTTTTGTTAAAAATATCGTGTCTCTAGGTCGTAGTATTCTTTGTCCTTAGTGATACGAACGAGGATGAGAATTTGTAAGATAAGAAATAGGAACTTTTTTAGTTCTTCTTTCTCGATATATTTTCGGATATTGTTTGCAATTATGATTATTTTATGATGTGAAAATAATTTGTAAAATTCAATGGGCGCGCAACATCAATCTGTTAATCATCATAAATATCATTCACGATTATTAATAATTGATGTTAAATTGTAGGATTTAATTACGGTTATTCAGTTACATTAATGAAATTAAAAATTTAAAATTATCAACGTATAACGGATATAATTATAAATATTTAAACAGATTATTTTAATTCCTGATTATCAAATCTGAGTTTCAAATAACGTGCATATTTTATCAATAAATCCTGCATACGTGACGTCGAAAAATATTTCGATCAGATCGAATCCGATTTATCACAATATATTTCCCGCCCTCCTCCTCATTTTTCCAAACTGACTGGAAAAAGATAAGCCTTTCCTTCCATCGAATGGGAGATCTTCCTCCCTCAAAGAAAATTGGCCGCGAATCAGTATTCACCAGCGATAGAAATTAATTCCTGATCGATCACTATTTCACCGCAAGAATTTTAATAAGGTGGAAGTTTACCTCATCGATATTTTCTCTAAACATATATCAATCTTCAATCAGACGAAAATATCATTCCTCTTCCTCGAAACGAAAAAACCGAGAAATATTATTTCTTTCCTTTTCTTTTTTTTTTATTTATCACGACATAACGTGAAATAAAAACACCTCGTCAAAGACTTCCTATTTTTTCTTTTCTTCTTCTTCTTCTCTTTTTCCCCTCCTCATTCAAATGATTCTCTATATACGTATCCTTGCTCGAGGCGCGCCTCCTCCTCGCACATAATAATCTAGACGAGATAAAACATGGCTTTCGTTGCGTTCCACGCTGGAGAAAATACCGTTCCGGTTTGCGGGAAAGATGTTTCCGTCCGTCTGCAAAGAATATTTCCTTCGTGTACAGGGAGCGTTCCGACGAAACCGTGAAACGATGGGTCGTTCAGTATGAAACTAGTTTACATTGTTCTCCGAATCCACCTTCGTGGAAACAAAATGCAACGATGAACGCGAGTATTTAAATCATCAATATTTAAAGACGCGTTGTTTTCTTGATTTATAATCGTTAAAACATTTATAATCGTGTTCACATCAGACTCGCCAAAGTTTCTTCATTTTTTGATGAAACGTACGAATGAACGATTTCTTTTTTATTTTCCAACGAAACTTAACGTGATTCTTTTTAAAATGATCGAGATGTCGTTTCAAGGGAATGAAAATCAATGCTCGAAATTTTAATGAATTTTCGTCTCATTAAATATAATTTTGTAATGATGTCGAACAGTGCGAAATTTTAAATTAAAAATTGTTCAGAATGTAATGTTTTATCACCGTGAAATAAAATATAATTGATAACTGATTTCATCCCCTGAAAGAGATTTCTCGTTGCTTTATGTGCAATTTATTATGTTCTACACATGTGTAAAGTTTTTTCGTTGAAATCAGAATATATTCGAGTTAAGTGAATTTCCCTGTAAAATAGTATTCGAATATTTTCACGAGCCATTGGATATTAATTTAGAAGATAATTTTTTTCTTTTTTTTTTTGGTTGAATTTGTGATGTGAAATTCTTTTCTTTTTTTCGAAACTTATATACACGTGATAAATGGAATTTATATTTCTTAATATTTTTTTTATGGTAACGCTCTTTCAAAATTCTCTTCTACCATTTATCCTCAAGAGAACTTATCTCTAAATACATACATTTATGCATATAAGGATAAAGATGTAAATGTTACAAATTATTCGACCAGAATTCTAATTTCCATTTATCATTGCTATGCTACTTGTTTCAAAATACCTTGTATTTCTATCACTCTTTTTTTCTTTTTTATTGCTTAATTTTTATTTTTAATCTATCCACGAAAAATTTTGAACGATAAATTATAAACTATCATATTAAACACAAAAAATATATAATTTTTGTTGTGGATTTAATAAAACGCAACTCTTCAAAAAACTTAATGTATCCTTTTTTAATTTCATACAATCTTTTTCTAAAGTGATTGTATCTAGTTACAATTTCTTTCAAACAAAGAATTTTCGATATGGATATTGTTACGTTTTTTTTTATTTCTACACAAAACAAAACATTATTCTTTAAATCACCTATTCATATTAAAAAATATATAGCGCACAACAGCATAGAAATCGATACTATTCTGAATACGAGGCATACAAAAGCCAACGGAAAACTAATCAACCAATCCATCTAGACATCTAGTTTCTGAAAAATTAATCCCCTACAATTTTCCAATTTTTACATTTCACTTTCTTGTTTCAATCAAACTGTTTCATTTCGGTCTAAACTTCGACATAAAATTAAAAGAAATCACAATATTGAATCAAATACTTACTTATCAATTTTACGAAAAAATGACTCAAAGAAGTCAACGTCACAATTCTAAAAATCACACATTTTCTCGTTGAAATTAGAATGTTCTCAAAAAAGCGGAGTTGATCAGTTTAGCCAGCCGAGTGCCTCTTCCAGTGCCCTAAATCATTTCAATGGAATCATCCATGAACGAAGCCACGGGACACTCTGTATACAGGATTTATATTCTATCGTGTGTCGAATCGTTGAATCTAACCATGGCTCGGAATCCAGTAGACAAAGAGGAGGCACGACTGGAGGGGTAGATCCGAAAACGCGAAAAATTCCCAACTTTTGAATCAAGCGTGATCAAAAAACGAATTCACGCGAGATATCGAGCCGTTGATCACATTGTGCCGAGTTAACTTGGAACCGTGTACGTCAATTATAAGCGAAAAAGAATGGAAAACAGAGAAAGGGAAAATGTATCGGATGCTGAACGAAAAAAAAGGAAGAAAGGGTGAATTGCATCAGTTATGCGTTTCGAGGAAAAAATTCGCGAGCTCGTAATTACACCGATAACTCGCACTAAACAGATAATTATCGATTTTTTCCTGGTATTCTCCGCCCATATTAATCGTATTCCTTCCATTCCAGGTGTTTTTGCAAAGGCTCGAGCATCGCGACTCTTATGCTCACTTGATTTGAAATCGTGCATCGCGAGGTGAGTCATTTTTTAATTTCATTTGAAATGTAATCTTGTATTCTTTCTTTGAAAATTTTTCCTTTGAGGATACTTTCTTTTGGTATTTTCGAAATCGACGGAATGAAATTGTGACGTTACGAGAGAGTAATATTTTATAATATTATGAGAGAGGTATCCAATATCGAACAATTACAGTCAACACCGAGAAAACTTAAGCACTCTTAACCAGTTAGCCTGAAAACCACTCCCATGAGAAATAGGGTTTCCTTGCTTGTGCCAACAGAAGCATCGATGTCTCGTGCCGCAACCCCTTGTGTCCCTAATTAGCCACAAAATTTGTTTGTAACTCAAACGATCGATCGTTGCATAATTTCGCCGTTAATATATCCGTTGATCAAAGATCGCCCGTGTAATTTAACCCTTTTGTTAACCAAAGCTCGCCGAACGTCGCTCACCCCGCTTAAAGGATAATTATGGCCATCCGTCAAAATCTCACGTTAATTTAACAACTCTAATTGCTTGTAGCATAATTCGATATTCCTCGATGATTAAATTTATTAAACGCATAAATCTACAATGTTTCCCGCGATACAAACGTTTCCAAATGCTTAATTATTGAAATTTTACTCGATTTCGAGACATCTGATATTAAAAAAAAAAATATATATATATATGTATCACAAACTCGAATATATCATCGATAAAGAAGAAGAAATTAGGGAGATGCGTAAATTTGTGTATAAAATCGAGCGAATTACCGATTTTAACAATACAAACAATTTAACGATGCTGCAACATCTCGTGAAGATTTCTAACCGCGAGACTTTCATTTCCCAGTTCCGCGGAATAAATATTCCATTGGTGCACTCGTCGGGACTCACTGTCAATTCGATGGCCTCTCAAACAATATTTATTTAGCCAGTATCGATTTCGTTGGCATGATATTGGTTTCCCGTACCTTGTATTTCTCTCTCTCCCTCTCTCTCTCTCTCTCTCTCTCTCTTCTTC